ATTAAGCACAAAGGATTTTCTCCTAACAAGCCAAAACCTCTATAAATATATACCAATATACATGTATGTATATATTTGATAAAATTTTGGTAACGTACATTATATGGAACATATACCATTATACCTTTTCACCTGGAGGGCTATCAGCACAAAAGGAGTTACTGGAGCCTGACTGGTATAGGGCCTCTGATAAGCAAACTGTTAAGTAATCGGGATGCAATAAGAACAAACAAAATCAGAAATTATATGCTGTACATTATTAATATGCCCAAGTACCAGATCTGTTGTTGCTTACCAAACTGTCTGTGGCCTTGTGGTAGGAGGATGAACAGGAAAACAGCATTTACAGCATGTAAATTCAGCTGAAGCAGTGTAGGAAGGCTGCTCCTTGGATGAATGAAACATTTTTCTGTAGTCCTACAGGGTCTGCTAATCACTTGTTTATGAACACAAAGAAATTAATACTTTATTCAGAAGACACACATTTAAGAATGCTGTCACACTGAGAACAGACCATTTCTCATCAAAGAAATATTTCATGGAATTAGAACAGAATCGCACAAGGATAGGTACTAAAACTCTGTGCTATAGCATCTGTAAAAGAGACAATTATAACTAACCCAGTTCTCGTCCTGCAGAACAAGAGGGGCATTTTTAAATAACACTGACTGCAATCACTGTGCAAACATAATCAGTATGTATTTTTTTATTTTTCAGAAATAAAAGACAAAATCGTAAATAATTTTCTACTCCAGTCACAGTGAGTTGACAACTAGCCGTACAGTTTCATTTATATTTTTGAATAATCCTGCATTTAATTGTGATATACCTATTTTGCAGAGGACAATGTTTCCCTTATGGCATGTTTTGTGAAGTGCTTTAAGTCTGGAATGTTTACAGTATTTAAAGCAAGCATTTACAGATATAAATTAAATGCAAGATCTGTCTCAGAGAAGAAATGAACAAGAGCCACCGTAGGTGGTTTACTGCTTCACAAAATCAACAATTAACAGTTATGCACAAAATAAGTAGCTGAATTTTACTTTCTGAGATTCAGTTAGACACGGGAAAAAAGGAGGTTTGCACGTTGCAGGAGGAAGAGCTGATCTGTCTCAAGGTGGAGCTAGATCTTATATTAAATGACACTGGCAGATTAAAGCTCTCTGTTGGGGAAGGGCTTAAAGGCTGAGTCAAAAGCCAAGAAGGCTCTTTATTCACGCCTACCTCCCAGCCCCTGGCAATCTGACTAATAACAAACTGAGCTAACAAGAAAGACTAGAAAGAGCACAGAGAACACAGAAGCAGCTAGGATCTAAAAATCTGACCAGCCGAGTGATCAAGTAAAGCTGTGCTTAACATCTTGTTTGTTTACTGCATTCGAGTGCTTGCAAACAGTTAACTGTATGCAGAAAAGTCAGCATAGCTGTGAAGTATGCTGTGAATTTTAATTGAGAGAAAAGGAAAACTGCTTACAGGATGGTCTAATGTGCACTCTGTCTGGATTTTTTTCTTTTCAGTTGTACGCTTTGTACTTCGTCTTCTGAGCAAGGATTTTGACTATATGGAGCTGTAGTATCACGAGAGCTTTCAGCAAATAAACTGAGAAGAAAGTATCTATTTTTCACAGAAAAAAATTACATTGCATTCACACGGCTGCTCCAACTGTGCATTACTGAGCATTTCAGGGGGTTTTACTGCTGTACAGGTAAGTAAAATATTCCAGTTTGTTAAGTAGCTCTGAATTTAAGAAATTCATTTCTCAGTACCAATTAGTTTTATTTTTTTCTGTATGATTTTGAATTACTTTTAGGTTAAATGATGGTGGTTTATACTCTTATTGCAAACAGTCTTCCCGGTGCATTTATTCATTTTGTGAAAAGTATATCTGAATAGTAGAATATGCTTATTAAGGAAACACTGACATGATGTCAGTTGAAGGTGGAATGAATAGATGTTACCTTTTATTTTCTGAAGTGCAAAAATTGTCTTAAATACTTTGACTGTGTTCCCTTCAGAAATTAATAAACAATCCTGAAGGCTTTTAGAAAGTGCCACTTCCAGGATGGAGGTTTTGAAATTCCTTGTTTGTTTGTTTTTTTTTTAATAGTTGAATTAAAACAAGCAAAAAATAGAACCCAAGTAAAATGTAAAATAATAATAAAGCAATTTCAGTGTCCTAAGAACCTGTTGTTGATTGTTACTTGTCAATCATGTAAGTTCTTTGCTGTAAAGTGATTAATTCTGAAAGTATTCAACATTGCTTTGTAGAGAACACTGTGACATTTTTTGTCTTTCAGAATTCATACTGCAAAAACACATTATGCAGTTAGACAGTGACCTACTGAAAGCAGATTAACTCAGCTAACTTAAGTTACTAGATAGAATTTTCTGAGAAAGCTCACCCCAGGAAACAGAAAAACATCAAACTTACTAAGTCTTTTAAACCAAATTTTATTTCATTGTGAGTTCATGTTGATCATCTGCCACTGGAAAGCAGTTTTCATTTTACAGTTACAGCCCACCGAGAGTTTCATCAGATGTTCTTGAGTGTTCAGAACAAAACCAAAATTTACAAAAAGGGAAAATAAAAGAATTCTTGTATTATTTTCTAAGTGTGTGTGTGTGTGTGTGTGTGTGTGTGTTTATGTGTGTGAGAGAGTTCTAGCAGTGTTGTCCACAGAAGTATGATGATTAAAATGTGACTGCTTTCCAACTGGTAACAAATGTTATTTTCATTTCTAAGAAGAAGGCTTTCATTTTAATAAATATTCTTTTAAATATGTGCTTGAATGCAACGTGCTTTTCAGATTAGGTTTTTTTTTTTTTCATTTATGTTTCCCCAGGGATTTTTTAACTACAGTTTGCATTTGATGCAGATCAAGGCTGGAATTTCTATAGGGGGAAAAAAAAAAGTGTAGACAGAGGTTCAGCTAGTCATACAGTAGGTTTGGAGATGGCGTCTGTGAAAAGAGCCTGTGTTCTTTTACCTTGGGTCAGTGGAAAATACACTGATGAATATAAATCATAAATAAATTTCTAGCATACTCTGATCCTAGCATTATTCTGCTAGGAATATAGCAAAATATCAAATATCTGTATCAAAATATCTATATCAAAATAAAGTTTTGTTGTGTTGTATCTTACCCTATACACACTGAGAGAAAAAAACCAAACAGCAACTTAAAAGATATAGTAAACATATGCAGTTAGAGTTCAAGGACTGTTCTGTGAGACAAAACAAATTATTTCCTGTACTGAAACAGACATGTACTTAGGGGGCACTTTCAAACACGACAAGTTGCACTCACTACTTCTAAACTCACACATCTGCTTCCAGTTATCAAAATTTTCTAATGGAGAAAACACAGTTCACTTTGCATACATTTACTGTTGGTGTGTGTGTGTGTGTATAAAGCACTCATACCAGAGCACTAAGGTGCTTACATATGTAAGTCCTTGCATCCTTGAGAAGAGGTGCTTCTACTAAGGTAGCACTATTACTAAAAATGTATTTTTGAGAAACATCAAAACATATGGTCATAGTTTGAGAATGCTCATGCATGTAGTTGAATATATTCACAGAAAGGGCTCTAGTCCTTCTGAAATTAACACTTGAAGTAGTTAATTCTGTAGTGATAGTTAATTGTGCAGTGACATTTTGTACTTTCTGTTATAATAAGTTACTTTGAAAATTAATAGAAATTTAGTGTCTGGATTTCTTAAGAAACCTGCTTATATCAGTCATAGAATGGAGTGCACCAAAATGTTGTTCTGTAGTAAATCTTCCATTCCATTTGAAGATTTCACTCCATCCCACATATCAAGAAAAAATTTTCATTCACACAATTAGATAGAAACAGAGAATCTTCACTTGAAAAATGTAGTATAAACAAATTTCAAACAGTAACATATAGTTGACTCAAATGTGTACGTTTTGCTCGAGACTTCAGAGTTGTACAGTAATGATGCATTTCTCAGGTATTGAAAGTTTGAGACCAGTATGGTGGCTGACAATTTAAGTTACATAACTTATTGATGATGCTGCCAATAGTTTTTAAGTAGTAAGGCAAAGTTAACTCAGTGTACATTTCAGAATTCTTGTGTCAATTAATATCTATAATAATTGAAAGGAACCAAATAATCAGTCCCCAAATAATCTCTTTGTTACTTGCCCACCTATTTCTTCTGAAATATACTGCAGTTTATTTTCTCTCTTCTTTTTCTTCAATTGTATACACTATTATGTGTATATTTTATATAATAATGTTACAGTATTAAAGAGGTTTAAAATGTGTTCTTTTACTAAATATACATGAACTACATTATGCCCATTAAAAATTATCTACAAGAAAAACAGTATTTTGTCTACTTCCTTCCCAGTTTGAAGAAATAAGAATTACAGAGGAAATAACTTTTAACTTACATACGTAATGCAGAATCAAAGGAGAAGTTCCCTCTATCCTGTTAGAATATATATATATATTTTTCTTAAAACACACTGTTGAATGAAACCAAATCTTGTATCATCTCTTTAGCAGCTGGACAAAATTAAGCTGAACTTAGAAAGGTACTTTTAAAATCTGCAATGTTATATGGTGACGTAAAAAAAATCCGAAATTTTTAAGCTTTGATGTAAATTGCTTGGGGCAGTAATTTACTATTTCTGTACATTGGTAAACCATATCCTATATAAATTTTATATTTATATATAGGAAATGCTTTTCTGATTATCTTCTACTGAGGTGTATCAGCATGAAAATACTGAAGCACTCCTTATGACTGTCTCTTGATTCAGTACATTAAACTAAATATTTCAAGAAAAGCTGAGACAGGGCAGGTAAGGGATAAGCAATCTCCCTTCCTGCCCCTCCCTCTCCCTGCCCCCCCAAAAAAGAAAGAAAAAAAAAACATACAAAACACAAATTGCACAAATTGTGAAATCATGACTGTTGCTTTTTCTTTTTCCATGCCTCCCCTCACCCTTTCTTTATTATAGAATCTGCTGAGCAAGATGAAGCTCTGGATTTTTGTGGTATGTTCAGTTCTGGTTGCATCTGATCCTTTCCAGTCAGAAACATCTTTTACTAGAATCAGAGGATCTTGTCAGAGTTTGTGTTCCTGTGAAGAAAAGGATGACATTATGATTATAAACTGTGAAGAAAGAGGCATCAAGATGGTGTCAGAAATAAATGTCCCACCATCACGGCCTTTCCATCTTAATTTGTTAAACAATGGCCTGACAATGCTACATGTGAATGATTTTGCTGGCCTTGTTAATGCTATCTCTCTACATCTTGGATTTAATAATATTGCAGATATTGAGCCTGGGGCTTTTAATGGTCTCAACCTTCTTAAGCAACTTCATATAAATCACAATTCTTTAGAAATACTTAAAGAAGATACGTTTGATGGATTGGAAAATTTGGAATTTCTTCAAGCAGACAACAATTTCATCACAGTGATTGAAGCAAGTGCCTTTAGCAAGCTCAGTAGGCTTAAAGTGCTTATTTTGAATGATAATGCTATTGAGTACCTTCCTCCAAACATATTTCGTTTTGTGCCATTGACTCATTTAGATCTTCGGGGAAACCAGTTACAGACACTACCATATGTTGGCTTTTTAGAACACATCGGTAGAATACTAGACCTTCAGTTGGAAGATAATAAATGGGCTTGTAACTGTGATTTGCTTCAGCTGAAGACATGGCTGGAAAACATGCCTCCTCAGTCAATAATAGGAGATGTTGTGTGCAATAGTCCTCCAGTTATCAAAGGCAGCATATTAAACAGGTTGAAAAAAGAATCGCTTTGTCCCATTCCTACTGTCAATGAACTTGAAGATCCTTCAGGGTCACTGCCCTTGGTTGTAACCACCTCTGTAAGTGATAGTCACCTGTCAACTAAGGTCATTCCTATACTGAAAGCTCCTACTAAAGAAACAAATTTAATGCTTCATACTTCAAAACCAACTACACAATTTCCAGGAATCTATTGTCCCATTCCCTGTCACTGCGCCAGCCATATGCTCTCAGGAGTTCTTATGCACTGTCAGGAGCGAAATATTGAAAGCCTGTCTGATTTAGGACCTCCTCCTACAAATCCTAAAAAACTTATTCTAGCAGGAAACATTATTCAGACATTACTTAAGTCAGATCTTATGGACTATGCTAGTCTGGAAATGCTTCATCTGGGGAACAATCGTATTGAAATCCTTGAGGAAGGAGTTTTCATGAATCTGACTAGACTGCAGAAACTGTATCTCAATGGCAATCATCTTACAAAGCTGAGTCAGAATCTTTTCCTTGGCCTTCAGCACCTTGAATACTTGTACCTTGAATATAATGCCATCAAAGAAGTTTTACCAGGGACATTTAATACAATGCCAAAACTTAAGGTCCTCTACTTAAATAATAACCTTTTGCAGACTTTACCACCCCATATCTTTTCTGGGGTGCCACTTGCCAGATTAAATCTGAAAACAAACCAGTTTGCTCATTTGCCTGTGAGCAATGTCTTGGATGAACTGGATATGTTGGTACAAATTGAACTTGAAGACAACCCCTGGGACTGTACATGTGATTCAGTTGGACTGCAAAAATGGATACAAAAGCTGAGTAAGAGTACAATGATGGGTGACATTTTCTGTAAATCTCCAGGACACTTAGAAAAAAAAAAACTGAAATCCCTCAACAGTGAAGTCTTGTGTCCAGATTTAATAAACAGCCCTGCCCTACCAACTCATGCCAGTTTTGTTGTTATAGCAACTTCTACTTCTACTACTAGCAACACTGCAGACACCATCCTGCAGTCGCTTACAGATGCTGTCCCACTTTCTGTTCTAATACTGGGACTGCTAATTGTATTTATAATTATTGTATTTTGTGCAGCAGGAATAGTTGTTCTTGTTCTGCATCGGCGGCGAAGATGTAAAAAGAAACAAGCCAATGAACAAATGAGGGATAGTAGCCCAGTTCACCTTCAGTACAGTATGTATGGGCATAAAACAACACATCACACAACAGAGCGTCCAGCTGCAGCTCTCTATGAGCAACGTATGATTACTCCCATGGTTCAGGTCTATCACGGCCCATCCTTCAGCCCAAAGCATACTGAACAACAAGAAGAGGAAAATGAGAAAGCAACTAATGATTCCAAACATCTCTGCAGAAGTCTCCTGGAAAGAGAGAATAGTTCACCACTTACTGGTTCAAATGTCAAATATACGGCTGCAGATCAATCCGCAGAATTTCTGTCTTTTCAAGATGCCAGCTGCTTGTACAGAAACATTCTTGAAAAAGAGAGGGAACTGCAGCAACTTGGAATCACAGAGTACTTAAGAAAAAATATTGTTCAACTCCAGCCTGAAATGGAAGTACATTATCCTGGAACACATGAGGAACTAAAACTAATGGAGTCACTGATGTACTCCAGACCAAGAAAGGTTTTTTTAGAACAAACTAAAAATGAGTATTTTGAACTCAAGGCTAATTTACATGCTGAGCCTGACTACCTGGAAGTCCTTGAGCAGCAAACATGAAGTGACAACACATTGGGCTTGGGCCAAATTTCTGTATTCCATTTTAAGTTGGAACTGTTGAAAATAAAAGTGCCTTGTAATGACATGTCAACAGTTAGAACTTAAGCACAGCAGTAATCCTAGCAAAAAAACAAACAAACAAACAAAAAACCCTAAAAAACTCAGGGATCACTGTGGGAAGCCATGGGGTTGTGTGTAGACAATATGTCTCAAGTTAAACACGAATTGTGTGATTGAACTGTGAGAGGAAGATTGCTTGTTGCAATATTCCTTAGCATTTTTTAAAGGTGTGTATGGCATTCTCTTTTGTGTACCTAACCTATGAAAAAATGTTTGTTACCTGTACTCTCTGGTTTTCCCCTAGTTTAATTAGATTCCTTAAAACAAACACAAAAAGAAAAATAAACAAGCCCTCACACCTGTGTTTGTAGTTAGAAGCTTAGAGTGTATTAAGTGTTAGTACTGCATACATGACCACTGTCTACAACCACACCTAACGTACTCTTATAATAAATATGAAAGGATTTAAAATGTTGTCATGCTAAATATCCGTTAAAAACAAACAAACAAAAAGAACAAATTTTGTGTATCCATCCACTGACAGAGAGCCTGCGTGTATTTAATATTTTATATGGAACTTCATCATATGGATTCTTTGTCAGTATGAGGAACAAAAAATATATGTGTTTACCCAACATCTTACAAGAAGAACTGCAAGCCTTTTGATACCCTATCTGATAGCTTTACTTAAGTTTGGACAATCTTTTCTTAAGCTGCTGCTATAAAATATTGTGCATCACTGGTGTTTCAACTCACGATCATGAGCAATTGGAAAAGATATTGAGGTTCAGCTGTATATATTGCTGTATTTAATAAGTTTGATTTTTATATATCTATCTATAAATATAATTTCTGTGCTGGCTTTAACTATCCTTGGAGGCAATTAGTTTGCTGCAACTAGGAACTTCCAGGTGAAAAAGCAGGTTCTTTCCTTCACTACCCAAAAGCAATTTCCAAATAGAATAACTGCAACAAAATATATGTGTGAGGAACAGTAATAGTATTTAGCTGTTGTTTGTACAATAATGTTATATTTTGCAGAATCTAGAAGAAAGTAAAGTGTTGTGGGAAAAAATACAAAAAGTAGAACATGTCAGATTTATTTTTGCAATGAATTCTAGCTAGATTTATATATACTATTTATTCTGTATAATTTTTTTTTTTTTTTTTTTTTTTCAACTCACTAGAAAAGAAAAAAGCTTATTCCTAGCTGCCTTTCAGGAAATTTAAGGAACTGGTCAGTGAAAATGAAATAAATAATTTTTAAATGTCTTTTTTTTTTTTTTTTTTTTTTTTTTTTAAATTTTAGAATTCACTTTTTAAAGAATAAGGCAGCAATTTCTCCATGCACAAGTTTAGAATTGTTCAGAAATTGTCAGAAGACAATGTTTTTCATTGTTGTCATGTAGACAGGATTGTCTTGTCTGGAGTGCAGTAAGGTCATTCAGTTTCTGTGCATGACTGACGCAGTGCCAAAACACAGATTCTGACCTTCACATATCTTTCTCTGAGTAAATCTTCTGACTATGCATGAAGAACTTCCATTTTGCTAATTTTCACTTGTTGAGCTAAGGATCAACTGAATTGCTACAATTCTACATAAGAATGCCAAATTTTACATTGAAGTCTTGATAAATACATTGAAGTCTTGATAAATATTTCAGAGATATACTCTTTACTTTATCTTACTGCTGATGTATTGCCTATATGTATATACAAATGTGAGTTCTTCATTTTATTTGCACAGAGGTTTATAGGTTTCTGACATATTTTTTTCTATATTATATACACAAGTCAGATTCTCAGTTCTTTCAAATTTGCATAAAGATAACGTCTTAAATGGTGCTAGTCTATTTTCTGTAACTTGAGGATCTGACCACTTGTCTCTGTTAACAAATCAATTTCCTTATTAACGTTTTTGAGAAGTCATCACTTTACTATCGAAAGCAAACTCCTTTGTTTCCAAGAATCATAATGCTATTTGTTAGAAAATAATATTTCCTCTTTTTATAAATGAGAATAATTTAGTTTAGAATGCCTCTGTATTCATAAGAATTAGGAAGAGTAAATCTGGTTACACTTTATGTTTTCTTACTGTCTTTGTTCTAGACAAGGGTAATGCTGAGTACTGCTTGAGGAGGTGAGAATAAGACAAAGTTAGAAAACACACTATATTAACTTTAATTATTTTAAAGACATGTGAATGGATTTCACGGGCCTGTCACAGATTCTGTGGAAACCCAAACCTTGTTCTCTAGGAGAGACCAGAGTTCAATTGAGATTGCATAGAGCATTAAAGTGACACTAGTTTTCTACATTTCAGCATTTAAATTCCACTCAGAAAATAACCTAATAATAACCAATGAAAAAAATGAATTCAGTCAGTGGGTACTACACTAATAACTGACTGAATTTTGAATCTGCCCCACAGAGGTTGTTATTTTCTAAATTCTCAGGGATTTAAAATTTGTGCAGAGAGAAAAATAACAAATATTTATATGGTACATTATAAGCTTTAGTACTTCAGTATTTTGGTGTCTTTCATTTCAGTAGTAATTTCTATTAGCAAAAATGGGTGTAAAATTCATACTCCGTAATTGGCAAGATGCAGGGAAATGATAATTCAGGCCCTCAGGCTTTGATTTAAGAAAAATAGTTTCAGACTAAAGATAATTGCCACATGCACAGATGTCACTTTGCTTAGGTGTTAACAGAAAATTGGCAGAATGCTGAGGACAACTGTGTGACAAAACATTCTTCTTCACTGCCATCTCAAGGCACCCGAAAAAAGAATGGGCTAAACTCAAAGCAACTCAGTTACAAAGCTGTATCAGAGGATCACTCAGAACGAATGAATAGAGCTTTAGCTTTTAGCTTTTCCTCAGATGGGAGATTCACACCATTCATTATATCAGGGTGACTGTACTCTGTGGTAGTCTGTAAAAGTGCAAGAAGTTTTGCAGTATCCAGGAATCACAAAAATATGTCACATCATCCATTTTCCTATCATCTGTTCCTGTTGGACCATCATGTATTAAATGTTTGTATAACAAGGTAAGAGCAGGTCTGTCTGTTTTCTTTCCTCATAGTAACATCCTAAGACTGTTCTTTTCCAGATATGAAGAAAAAGTATATTGCCATAAAACAAAGAATTTGGCTTTATATGATTATTCTTCAGCTGAGGAATATCAATATTAGCTGACATAAATAAAATCAGAACACAAGGAATGTAGTATATTTGAAAAGGAAGAGGATGAAATATCTATTTGTAAAAGTTCCTTGGAATGTATTCACTACAGCAATTAGAAAAGTTACCTAATATTATTACTGTTTCTGGAAACTTGGAAAATTTATTCAGATTTTTTTTTTTTTAAGCCATGTTCTGATATTTATTTATTTTCTCCAATGATAGATAAAATAAAGTGGTTTCATACCTTTCACTTAGTTAGAATAATGGAGGCTGGAAGAAAAGCTGGAAACTTGACAGTCTGCAGCAAAATGAATCCATTTTTCTCTTCTCAGCATGATCTGTGCAAAAGCACGAACTGTTTGCAATAGTGCTTTATCAAGCACACTGGTGTACTTGACAGGTATGTCATAGTGTCATAGTTGCTAGGGTACTTCCAGATAACCAACACTACTATTTTCCCTCTCATATTTGAGAGAATAAAATATACAAATAGCAATGTGGACCTAATCCCCAAATAAAATGAAAACAAAAACAAACAAACAAACAAAACAACAAAACAAAACAAACAAAAGCAGCAACAAAAAAAAGCTGCATATGTGCACTTATTTTATTTTGGCTTTTCTATTTAACCTCATGAAAGTCAAATGCATTTCCTTTTATTTCTTCTACATTTTTTTTTCTCATAAGCTTTTTATATCAATACTGAATATATTAACTATAGTAATGCCTTTTCAAGCTTCTGAGCAAAAAAAAAAAAAAGCAACACTCCACAAAAACACTTCCTATCAGAAAAATGAATTTGCATGTAAAGCAGTGCATTTGCCTATTCAGTATTTTTACACATTCTTCTCCATTAGAATGACATATCTTCTCTAAACAAATTCTAAAATGAAAATAAGTCTGTGCTTTCTGTCTGTGATGTGTCGAAGCTACAGGATTTGCATGTGAACTTTCTTCACCTGTAGTTATTGTTTCTCAATTTGGAACCTGAGGATCAGGTTCTGTCCCCTCTCTTCATGACAAAGAAGTTCCCAGTATAACCTCTAGTAGTAGCAGATCTTTATATAATATGCTGTTTACATATGCAGAGATTGCTAATAGCATAGTATTCTAAACTGAGAAGTTATGTATGACTGAAAGGGCCATCTATCTTACCAAGGTCCTAGTATCTGAATATAAAATGTATATTTACTGCAACAAAAACCATCATTTCAGAAGGTTTAGACTTAGAGACAAGTGAAAAAAAGGACACTTGAGTCTCAAAATCGTCATCAGAAGGAATTCTGAATTATATTCTGGGATGCAGTTTTCTAGAGCCATACAGCTTATCAGCCACACCAGAACAATCTGTAAGTTTCATGCAGATACACTGAAGCCATTACCAGTACTTCTCTTAATTCAAAAGATTAGCTGATACCTTTGCTGAAGACAGCATTCTTCTATTCTCTTGTGATGCCCCAGTACAGAATACCTCAGTTTCCATTATGGACAAATACTTCTCAGACACAAATAGCTCTCTAGCAGTAAAATTGAAACCTACTCCTTGGGGAAGTTTTAAATGTGTTCATTGCCTTCAGTTTTCTGTTCCTTTGGCACTTGATATTAGGTGCATCCTACTGGATTTGGGACAGGGAAGACCAATATATTACAGAGCCTGTTTGATAGTTCAAAAGATTTGTCCCTTCTTTATTTTCCAAAGTTTATGATATTCTTGGACTTGTTCCAGGTATTGGTATCAAATCCCTTTTTTTTTTTTTTTCTTTTTTCTTTTTAAACTTAAAATATAAATGAGCTGTAGGTTAAGACAGTATCAGGAACTTACTTGCCATACTGAAAGGATACAGCATGACATTTTCTTTCCTGTACATCTCCTAGCAGTCAGCTTTGGCCTTTTGACACAACAGAATAAATTCTTAAGAGCGACAGTCTAATGGGAAGCAGATAACCTCAAGAAAAAAGTAAAACACCAGCTGCTGTTCAGCTCTATGAAAGCAAGATGTGATTAATTGTTTTTGTTGCTCTATCTACTTCAACAAGATGGTGTGCATATGTTCCTCTTGTTATTACTACAAGACCTTCTATAACTTAGTTCATGCTATAGAGTGATGGCATAGAGAAAAGAAGCAGCAACTTAATTTTTATATATCAAAGAGTAGTGTTACTATTATAATTTCAGCTGTTTACTTCTCATTTTGAGACAAATTATTTTAGGAAATATGATTTTAAAAAATCTTGCGATTGCAATTAATTAACTAAAAAACTACAGATGAGTACATAATTAACTGTTCAAACAGAAAGAGATCTGGAGTAGTTTATATGTGCAGAAATCTGTCCTA